ACATGTAAATAAAGGCAATAATACTCAATGGGCTGGTTATTAACTTTTAAAAATTAATGTTGTAAAGCTACAGCTTATGAACTAAGTCTTAAATAACATGTAATGTAACTAGGAACAACAAAGAAAAAATAATTTATAATTTGAACTATAATTTTAAGAAATCTTTTAAATATGCCCCAATTTCCATTTATTTCATTTTGCTGTGAGATACAAATTGGGACTCTCCAAGAAGTAAAAAGAATCTCTTATTTTTGGTGGGATTCCTCTTTTCTGACCAGTAGGTTAGCCTAGGGATAGACAGGACAGAAGAGGAAGAATATAAAAAGCAAAGAGACTCAGATTTACAGACAAAAGCAGAGAAACCTAAATGAAGGTATCCCAGACCACAGATGGCTTTCATGCTCCCAAGAGGACCTTATATCAATGTGTTATGTTATTATAACATAATTTTTACAGTAAATAAGTGGACTCCATTAAAACTACTTTTTAGAATTTTTAAAAAAAAAAAGAGAATTTGATTTTGGAGATAGATAAACAATACTACTGGGCTTCCCTGGTGGCTCAGTGGTAAAGAATCCACCTGCTAGTGCAGCAGACACAGGTTCTATCCCTGGGTCAGGAAGATTCCCTACAGCAGGAAATGGCAATTCACTCCAGTATTCTTGCCTGGAGAATTCCATGGACAGAAGAGCCTGGTGGGCTGCAGTCCATGGCATGGTGCTGCAAAGAGTCAAGACACAACTTAGCAACTAAAACAAGCCAAAAGTATTAAGAAGACAATTAGAAATTTTCTGCTTTGTTTAACCAACTATTCTCAACTGGGTATAAAATTTCATATTTCCTCTCAAATTATATCACATTAAGGTTGTCATGTGTTGATAAAAGAAAAAGAAATTAGGTGATATTTATTACTTTCCCTCGACTCTTTACCCTGTATCTCCTAAGTACTACTTGGCTACATGGTGCTATTTGAATAGTGTGCATGTGGAATCAGCCTGTCTTCTTTTCCATCTCCTAACTCTAGCTCTTCCTAATTGTCTTGACCCAAATTAAATGCCTATGTCTCCATAAAGCATTCTTTGATTCCTCCTTAGCTAGAAGCAGTTTTCCTTGGCCTATGCATTTTTTTAAGCTCTTTCCTTAAACATTTCTTAAGGTCCTTATAAATATTCTACATATTAAGAATTTAAATATTTACAGGATTATAAACTGCTTGACAAAGAAAGAACTGCATTTTGTTCATCTTTGCATGTCACAATACCTAACAGTGCCTGGCACAGAACAGGAAGTCAATCTAATAGATAATAAATGTTTACATTTGAAAGTTAATATGGCTCATAATAAAACAAACAGTTCTCTTGAGAAACATCATGGCACAAAAATCAACAATAGAGGGTCTTCAGTAAATATTTCTTGCACAAGTAAAGCTAAAACTATGGCAACTAATGTAAAATATACATATTTAAATTCACAGGTATGATGAGCGTAATAATTAAGTCATAATAATTGTCATTAAGTCACCAGCATTCTAGTGACAATGCTGCAGCTTGTTAGAATTTTGGTCAGGCTAAGGTATATGATTCACCAGGAGCTAAATTTCTTAAGCTCTTTTCTAATCATACTTCAATTTATAGATTAGGCAGGTTGTACTGTTGCCAGAGAGATGTCACAACTACCAAAAAGGAAAGCATAAATTTTAAAATTTGTGAAATGTTGAGAAAAAAGGCAAGTATTAAAAAGAATCCTTAGCTTAATGTTTACTAACTTTGTTTCTTGGGGCTCCCTTTACTGAAATAGAAAAATGGCCTATCAAAGTAGCCAACCCTTTGTAGATTTATTCAGAATACCTACTAAGTTTATGTATGTGGCATGTTATACTCTATGAAAATAACTGTAAGAGTTTCCGTTAAAACAATTGAGATTAACATACTTAGAAAAGAGGAACAGAAAACAGATGCAGAGACATATAAAAGGATTAATTTCTGATACTAGCAAAATCTACATGAAAAAGTAAATTAGATGTGAACACAGATAGATACAAAAATCAGCAGACAAGAATTACAATTAAGCTAAAAGAGAAACAGATGAAAGGACATCATTAGTCTAACCCTGAACATAATCAATTTCGCACAATCCCATAATACACCACAACCTAGAAAAAGGAGCTTGTGGTCAAGAACACACAGAAAAGAGCTAGATAAACCATGTCATTTGAAAGTTGGGATACACGTGGGAGAAACAAGCAGACAACAGACAACAGGGAGGGAACATTACTGTAATTAGCAGCTTTGGGAGAAGTTACAACTACAAAGATCAACGCACTACACAGAGGACAAAGTCCTTAATTGGTTTGTTTTAAATAATGTTTCATGCTCATCAGGTATTTTCTGACATAGGCTGTAACATTTTTCTCCATTGGAATTTTAGGAAGAAAATAAATTGGAAAAGTTGCATTATGCAGTGTTTAGGGCACTAGACTCAAAGTAAGATTTCTTGAATTCTAATTTCAGCTTGTTTACTTACTAGCTGTGTGACCTTAGAGATGTTACCTAACCTAAGTCTCAGTTTTCTCAGCTATAAAATGGAAACTAGTACTAGCTCTTCTTTGACAGGAGGATTTGTTATGAGGATTAAATAACCAATATACTGAAATATCATTTATAATGCACCTTTGGTATATGTCTCACAATGTTAAATGTTTGCAAAATAAAATCTGTTGTAAATAGTTGAGATTTCATCTGATTTAAGAAAAAGTTTGGCCCCCATGAGTGAGAAGGTCCCCAGATATCATGATAACACTAGGCAGAACTTTCAAGTTCTCTATTTTAGAAGAAGCTCTGCTTTGACTTTATTTTCTGCCCTTCTTTTTCTTTTCCCCTGTATGATTTCTAACTCTGCCTCTATAATGCAAGTTAAAAGACAGTTATCCAGGAAATAACACAACTCTTGATCAAGTTTCCTAAGTGTTCATTTCCTCCAAATCTGCCACGCCCCACAGGAAATGAGAGGGAAAAGAGGATATATATCATTTCATATTAGGTATATGACAGGAAGCATTAATGCGGATGATTGGGTGGTGTTTGAAGTCTCAATGTGCTCAGCCATTCAGTCCTGTCCAACTCTGCGATCCCATGGACTGTAGCCTGCCAGGCTCCCCCATCCACGGAATTTTCCAGGCAAGCATAATGGAGTGGATTGCCATGCCCTCCTCCAGGGGATCTTTCTGGCCCAGGGATTGAACCTACATCTCCTGCACTGGCAGGTAGATTCTTTACCACTGCACCACCTGAGAAGCCCCCAAGACGTCTCAATAAAATAACGTAAAATCAAGAAGAGCTCCAACATAGAGCTGCTGATATGACACCTAAAGAATACTATAGTAGAGCCTTTAAATAAGTTATCAACAAAAATATCAAGTAGAGAGCAGGCTATGGCCTCGTTCCTAATTAACAATCTCTAGAACATGAATAATAAGAAAAGTAAACTTGAAAGTTTAACACAAGGAGGCAAGTGTCACCGAGACCCACGACACTGGAAAGGTATGTTCTATTCTAATGATGCTATTGTGGTCGACACACAATGATGCTTTCCTAATACAGATTACAAAACAGATACAATGTACAGCAGTAACGGGAAATGTCACCTCTCCCGGCACTGGGGAGAGGTTTCATTCTGGTAAAAGTAGAACACCTGATAAATTGATACCATATTGACAATTTCTCAGAAAGCAGAGGAAATGACAGAGAAAACTGCTATTCAGGACTGATAGGGAGGAAACTGTAGGTGATGAAGGAGTGACAAGTGCTTGCTTGCTTGGACTTTGTAATAGCAAAGGAAGGAAATCTTTCACATGTGAGGACCTCAGAATCGGAGAGAGTAAATGTCAAAGTGTTCACAGATTAGATGGAGATGTGGGTTGGAGGTGCAGCAACGGAGACCCAGGACAACCTAGAAATAATACTAATAAATTAAAAAAAATAGTAAATAATAGGGTCATGCTAAGTTGGACTGAGGGTGCCAATTGCTCTATAGAAGTCAGGAAGTCAGGACAGGCCTCATCAGTGAATCTAGTGAGGAGTATCGATATTTCTCTTGACCTCTCCCTCAGGTAATTATTATTGTTAAGCTTCTTGTTGCTTTTACCAAATATGTTTGAATTTTTATTTTCTGAGTTTTGCTATGAAGTTCCTGAACCAGACTTGTAGTTACCGCTGGATATATGACAGCTTGGGGACCATTCTTTCCCAAGGCTGGAGTTTGGACATAAGTTCTTACTGAATAATGTCTCTAAATCTTCCAGCTGTTTCTTGGTAAACATTGTTGTTTCCTCCATGGATGCCTCTGGCACTTGTGAAATCCTCTGAGTCTGGAACTCATTAATCTCTGCTGTTCACATATTCAGGGCCAATGACTAGCTGTTATTATTATTTTTAAGTTATAGACAGCAAAAAAAGTCATTTTATTTATGTTTCAACAGCTAGTATAGTATTATGAAATGATGACTAAAAATAATAAATGTTCAAAACTATATTCAAGCTGGAAATTCTGGTCAAAGGCTGAATGAGAAAAGAAGTACAAGGCAAGGGGAAGTGACTGAAAAAAGTTCTCTCCAGTGAGTTCGTTTCTCCAGCCCTGGCTGAATTTCATCCTAAGGTACCAAGAAAACATACACATACAATCATGCAACCATTACTGGTTTTCTCTAAAGCAGGGAGGATAGAAGTCTGGAGATAAACAAAGATGATTGTGATTTTCAAAAAGGAAGGGAATATGGATTCTGAACACACCACCACCAGCTCAGAAAAGGAGCAAGACCAAGAGGGGGCCACAGTAGTACATGACCAAGATCATGGCACAGGAGGGGTGTTACACAAGGACTCTGGGACAGCCTCCAGAGGTGTGCCTGAGCACGCACATCACACAGTCACAATGGAGTAGAATACAGATGTCCACTGCCATTGCTATGAGATATTTCTAACCACATCTCTGTCTTTACACCCTCTAGAGTCAAGCCCCAGGAGAGACTGCCCAACAGGCTAAGCATGGTGTGTATGTGTGTGTCTTAAGTTACATGGCTGGGACCCAGGTGAAGTGACTGAGGAAATGATTAGCCTTGAACACACAATATAAAGGGGCACCAGAAAACTCATTAATCAAGATAAGTAGTATGTTAATGCAGTATTTTTATTTTTATTTTTTTTACGCAGTATTTTTAAAAGTCAAAATTGATGCAAAAACCTATAATGAATAAGATATTAAAATTTAAAGAAAGTCACAAAACAGTGCCATGCTGAAGAATTGATGCTTTTGAACTGTAGTGCTGGAGAAAACTCTTGAGAGTCCCTTAGACAGCAAGGAGATCAAATCAATTATTCCTAAAGGAAATCAACCCTGAATATTCATTGGAAGGACTGATGCTGAAGGCGAAGCTCCAACACTTTGGCCAACTGATGTGAAGAGCCAACTCATTGGAAAAGACCCTGATGCTGGGAAAGATTGAGTACGAGATAAAGGGACAATAGAGGATGAGATGGTTAAACAGCATCATCGACTCAATGGACATGAGTTTTGAGTAAACTCTGGGAGACAGTGAAGGACAGGGAAGCCCGGCATGCTGCAGTCCATGGGGTCACATAGAGTCTGACACAACTTAGCAAATGAACAACAAAGAACAACAACAATGCCAAACTCTATTGGTGCCTGAGGCAAAAGAAAAAAATCACTACTACTGATCCTTCTTTCTTTAGATTTTTGTTATTTTCTTCATGGATTTTTTACATTAATTGCAATTCTTAAAAATACTGCACTAAAATAGTCCTTAATTGCTGAGGTTTTCTGGCATTCCCTGAAATTCTGTAGCTGGGATGAGAGACTCATTCTCTTCACCCCAGGCTCACACCTGCCCCTACTTGCTAGGGAGCAACAAGAGGAACTCTCAGGTGCCATTTCTGATTTCTCCTGTAGGAGGTGTGGCTCTAAAACAGAAAGTGTCCTTTCTGCCTGGAACACTAATCTAGCCACCTCCTTCCTCTCTCCTTCCTTTTGCTCTTTCTTTAGATATCACTTCTTCACTACTGATCTAGGTGTTCCTTCTCTGCCTTAGCATTTAATACATAGAGTTCAGTTCAGTACTCAGCCATGTATGACTCTGTGCGACCCCATGGACTATAGCATGCCAGGCTTCCCTTTCCATCACCAACACCTGGAACTTGCTCAAACTCATGTCCATCGAGTTGGTGATGCCATCCAACCATCTCATCCTCTGTCAACCCCTTCTCCTCCTGCCTTCAATCTTTCCCAGCATCAGGGTCTTTTCCAATGAGTCAGTTCTTCACATCAGGAGGCCAAAGTATTGGAGTTTCAGCTTCGGCATTAGTCCTTCCAATGAATATTCAGGACTGATTTCCTTTAGGATGGACTGGTTTGATCCTCTTGCAGTCCAAGGAACTCTCAAGACTCTTCTCCATCACCACAGTTCAAAAGCATTATTCTTTAGCACTCAGCTTTCTTTATATATAGTCCAACTCTCAAATCCATACATGACTACTGGAAAAACCATAGCTTTGACTAGATTGACCTTTGTTGGCAAAGTAATGTCTCTGCTTTTTAATATGCTCTCTAGGTTGGTCATAGCTTTTCTTCTAAGGAATAAGCGTCTTTTAATTTCATGGCTGTAGTCACCATCTGCAGTGATTTTTGACCCCCCCCCCCAAAATAAAGTCTCTGTTTCTATTGTTTCCCCATTTATTTGCCATGAAGTGATGGGACCAGATGCCACAATCTTAGTTTTCTGAATGTTCAATTTTAAGCCAACTTTTCCACTCTCCTCTTTCACTTGCATCAAGAAGCTCTTAGTTCTTCACTTTCTGCCATAAGGGGGGTGTCATCTGCATATCTGAGGTTATTGATATTTCTCCTGGCTATACTGATTTCAGCTTGTGCTTCATCCAGTCTGGCATTTCGCATGATGCACTCTGCATATAAGTTAAATAAGCAGGGTGACAATATACAGCCTTGATGTACTCCTTTCCCGATTTGGAACCAGTGTGTTGTTCCATGTCCAGTTCTAACTGTTGCTTCTTGACCTGCATACAGATTTCTCAGGAGGCAGGTCTGGTGGTCTGGTAGTCCCATCTCTTTATAAGAATTTTCCACAGTTTGTTGTGAGCCACATAGTCAAAGGCTTTGGTGTAGTCAATAAAGCACAAGTAGATGTTTTTCTGGAACTCTCTTGCTTTTTAACACATCAGCATATCAAAATACTTATCAATGTTTCACAATTTGTTAGCATGCTGTAAAGTGAACCTGGCAGAATGTGGAGCAAGACTGGGGGTGCAGTACTGAACAGTGAGCCTCAGAAAGACATATCCATGGCCTTAATCAGTGAATGAGATCTTATTTGGGAATAAATTTCAAGTGTAATCAAGTTAAGGATCTCTGAGATGACATCATTCTGAATTATTCAGGTGAGTCCTGCATCCAATAACCTTGTAAGAGACAGAAGGAAAGAAGCCAGGAGACAGATAAGGCAGTCACAGGAAGACAGAGGCAGGGGGAACTCAGACAAGTAAACTTGTAAGATCTTCTAAATCTAAGAATCTTTGTTCTAGTCACTTCCTGCCTAGTGGAAAAAAGTAATAACAACAGGGTCCATGTGGAAACCTCTACTTTCTAGGCAATAGACAAAAGAAGATACATTTTGATACAAGCAAGTAAGCATACATAAATTCACCAGTAAATTCACTGTGGTATTATAAAATTCATAGTACCAGCCTGTCTCTAGAAAATACATGAGGCTGTGTCTAACATGTAGGGTGCTGTTAGATGTGGACTCCATTCGTAATGTCATGGTCACATAGGAAATGGTAGCTGAGCCAAATTATGCAGGTAGGATCCAAACTATCTTCTGAGTGACCACAAAACACTTTTCAAATGTAGAAAACACTTTCAAATGTTAGAATCTGTTTACACCCAGAGTCTAAACACTTTCAAATGTAGGCCCTAGCTTTCATCTATGCTTTATGTCAGTTTGTAGAAAAAAGTCACTATAGGTCCATCTCGCTCTATCCTTAACTTGCTGTTAATTTACAAAAGGGGCTTAGAAAAGTCTATGAGTAGTACTTCACGAGTTCTTGAAGAAAATATAAGTATTCCAAAATAATGAAGTTCCAATTTCATACCTATTTCCTAGCGGTTAATTAAAAAGGGGGACAGTACAACTAAAACATAGGGATACATCTTGATTGTATGGCACCAAAGAGTGTTATTTACATCTCTAAATTACTTTTATAAGACAAAATACTTTGGATAAAAAGAAATTTTTTTCCCACTAAAGTTTTATTTGCTGATCACAAAACTATTTTATTGAACAGTCCAGTATATGGTAAGAGTTGGGGTGCATACAGATAATAAATGGTAGATCCAAACCCCATTAACTATGCTGTAAGCTCTTAACCAGTCTGTCATCCTGTCTCCCACGTTACTATTCTGCTGTGTTAGAATAAGCTACCCTTGTAACAGGGAAGAACAAATCTAAATCCTTATTGTATTTGTTTCTTTTACATTAACCTCTGTATTCTATTGCTTTTGCTGCCATCCCTAAAAGGATGTTGCCTGTAGCTTAAAGTATATATAATGGTCCATTTCTGGGAACCCTGCCTCCCACACCTATGTTAAACTAAAATCTTTGTTTAAGTTCACAGGAAACATCCTGGCCAGGCCCACCTGTGAATGGCTGCAAGAAAGAAAAAATTAGCACATCCCCTCTAAAGTCTGGCCAGAACCAGGAAATATTTGCAACAACTTACTGGTTTTTTTTTGTTTTTGCTTTACTTCTTTACCCTTCTCTCTGTTCTGAAAAAGAACTAGCACTCACACTTGGGCAAATGGTTTTGGGGCCACCAGTCCACTATCTTCGCAATCTGCTGGCTTTCCCAATAAAGTTGCTATTCCTGGCCCCAAAACCTTGTCTCTTGATTTATTGGCCTGTAGAATTTGAACTCAATAACACCCTGAGCTTGTTCACCAGTTCAGCTTCTAAATTTATTTACTTATTCAAAATATTTAATACTACTGTACTATGTGAGAATATGTTGGATGGACTACGAGGGTGAAAGACACATTGAAAACTGTAAGGAGTAGAATGACAAGTGGTAAAGAAAAGACATGTACATTAATAACTATAACATAAGGTAAAGAGTGCCAAGTGCTACAAGAAAATTAGAAAATACTTTTCCAAGGAATTCCAAGGAGGGAGGGACTAGTTTTAGCTTGAAAGAATAGCGTGGTGGAATCAGGGACAATTTTTGAGATATGCCTATGTGCCATCTCAAAGTCAGCTCAATAGAGGATGTAAACAATGGAGTTTTCAATGATGGTGATACAACATCTACTCTTAATTGATTCTTTACCACTGAGCCACCAGGGAAGCCCATTCTTTTATTTAATTCTCATTAAAATTCTGAGTAGGCAGCCATTGAAAAGAATGAAATAAGACCATTTGCAGCAACATGGATTGACCTAGAGAGTGTCATACTAAGTGAAGTAAGTCAGACAGAGAAGAAATATCATAGGACATCCCTTAAATGTGGAACCTAAAAAGAAATGACATAATGAACTTACTTACAGACAGAAAGAGACTCACAGACTTAGAAAATGAACTCATGGTTGCCAGGGGGGAAGGGATAGTTAAGGACTTTGGAAAGGTTATATACACACTACTATATTTAAAGTGGACAATGAGCAAAAACTGATTGTATAGCACATGGAATTCTGCTCAATGTTAATGTGCCAACCTAGATGGGAGAGGGGATTTGGTGGAGAATGGATGCATGTATATGTATGGCTGAGTCCCTTCACTGTCCACCTCTAACTATCACAACACTTTTAATTGGCTATACTCCAATACAAAATGCTTTTGGTGCTAAAAAAAATTAAATTTAAAAAAATCCAATGAGTAGGCATTTATCCTCCTTTTATAGATGAAGTTATCAGAGAGATGTAAGGTCACTCAATTAATAAATGATCGCTCATGGGTCAAGTACATAATGCCAAAATGTATGCTATGGCTAATATAAGGGATGCTTCTGATAGAGCATCAAGTTATAGATCTAACAGGTAGAAAGGAAGAATTTTATTTGGTTCTAGTTTGGGGAATAGGTAAGAAAAGGTAGTGAAGAAAATATGGTTGAGATAGGAATTCACATTTTGAAAACAGAATAATTGGTTTGCTTTGTCAATTACAGAATTCTTAACTGAGGGATGGTTTTGCCCCATGATATCTGGCAATGTCTACAGACACTGGTATTCACAACTGAGAAGGGTGGGGAGGGAATGCTACTGGCATTTAACTGGGGAGAGGCCAGGGATCCTGATAAACATCCTACAATGAATAACATAACCCCACAACAAAGAATTATCTGGCCTAAAATGTCAGTAGTACCAACATTCGTTGTTAAGGTAGAACCAGGAATGATATATTTTAGAAAGTGAGTCAGAATGAAGATGAAAGGTCAACAGATGATGGACCTAGAAATTATCATACTAAGTGAAGTTAAGTCAGACAAAAAAAAAGACAAGTATCACATGATATCATTTATATGGGGAATCTAAAATATGATACAAATGAACTTGAAAATAGAAACAGACTCACAGACATAGAAAACGAACTTATGGTTACCAAAGGGTAAAGAGGAGTGAGGGATAAATTAGGAATTTGGCATTAACAGATACACATTACTATATATAAAATCCACAAACAACAAGCACCTACTATACAGAACAGGAAATGATATTCAGTATCTTCTATAAAGGAAAATAATCTGAAAAAGAATATACATACATATAAATGAATCACTTTGCTATATACCTGAAACATTATAAATCAACTATAAGTCAATAAAAGTTAATTTTTTTAAAAAAAGAATGAAGATGAAAGGAGTAGTGGGTAATTCAGTACACAAAAAAGAAGAAAACTCTGTAGCTCAGAGCTGGCCAATTAAAATGAGAAGCAAAAGGAAAGAACAAGAGAAATAGAGAAAAAAGAGAGAATGAGAAAGAAAAGGCTGCAGCGGGGTGGGGGGTGGGTAGAGAGAAGAATAATTACTCTTCTTTTTACAGTTTTTGATGCATGGAAAGAAGAACAGAGAGCATAAGAAAAGAAAACCAAATGAAAGTCTTTATTTCAGAATTAAAAATAGAAACAGGAAAAAAAACAAAAACAAACAAAAAAAATAAAAGTAGAAACAGGAGAATCAAGAATATACTCTTCCCAAAGGAGGCTAGATGTAAGAACTTGAAGTTACACTGTTGTGCTGAATGCACAATGACAGGAATGTGCATAGAATACTCTTTTATCATAGTAAATATTGCAAATAATGGCAAGATATTTTGATGAGGTTTGTGGGAAAACAAAAATAACACCAAAAAACCCAAGGGATTAAGATAGATGGATGTATTATAAATTATTAAAAAAAATTTTTTAATACTAACAAAACAGGTCTATTAAACATATTTTAAGAATAAGTGAGTTTCAAAATGTAACAATCTAACTTTAAATTGTTTAACTAACCTGGCTTTCTGGACCAAGGTGGCCAAGGTTCATCTGCTTGACTAAGAATAAATTCAGGAAGAAGCAAGATTTTCTAAATTAAAAAAAAAAAAAGGAAAAAAAATGACCTGACTTTTTAAAAAACTCAAAATTTCCATTTCTATATACCAAAGTTCATGAAAAAAAGTGAAGTGTTAGTTGCTCGCTCATGTACAGCTCTTTGCATCCCCATGGGCTGTAGTCCGCCAGGCTCTTCTGTCCATGGAATTCTCTGGGCAAGAAGACTAGAGTGGGTAGCCATTCCCTTCTCCAAGGGATCTTCCTGACCCAAGGTTTGAACACAGGTCTCCTGCATTGCAGGTGGATTCTTTACTATCTGAGCCACCAGGGAAGCCCTAAGCAACATTAAAAGGCAAATCGGGAAAATATCTACAATAAATATCATAAGGACCAATAAGTTAATTTACAAAGAGTGCATACAAAGTTCAGTTCAGTTCAGTTCAGTCGCTCACTTGTGTCCGACTCTTTGTGACCCCCATGAATCTCAGCACGCCAGGTCTCTCTGTCCATCACCAACTCCTGGAGTTTACTTAAACTCATGTCCATCGAGTTGGTGATGCCATCCAGCCATCTCATCCTCTGTCGTCCCCTTCTCCTCCTGCCCCCAATCCCTCCCAGCATCAGGGTCTTTTCCAATGAGCCAGTTCTTCACATCAGGTGGCCAAAGTACTGGAGTTTCAGCTTCAGCATCAGTCCTACCAATGAACACGCAGGACTGAGCTCCTTTAGGATGGACTGGTTGGATCTCCTTGCAGTCCAAGGGACTCTCAAGAGTCTTCTCCAACACCACAGTTCAAAAGCATGAATTTTTTGGCGCTCAGCTTTCTTCACAGGCCAACTCTCACATCCATACATGACCACTGGAAAAACCATAGCCTTGACTAGATGGACCTTTGTTGGCAAAGTAATGTTTCTGCTTTTTAATATGCTATCTAGGTTGGTCATAACTTTCCTTCCAAGGAGTAAGCGTCTTTTAATTTCATGGCTGCAATCACCATCTGCAGTGATTTTGGAGCCCAGAAAAATAAAGTCTGACACTGTTTCCA